TCTGTGGTCTGTATGTCAGAGACAGTAGGGATGGGCGTATCGATCCGAAGTATCGACATATCGATACTGACGCGAGTATCGAAAGTATCGATACTCAAACAAAAAATATCGATACTAAGGTGCATTTTATTTACCAGTGGTTTTATTTATTTAACAAAAATAATAATAATATTAATGCGTACAATATGCATTGAATTTGACGAATAACCTTTGTTAGCGAGTAATTGTGTAGGATAGAACTATTTTCCTGCTCATCTGAACACACGCAAATGTTGCAAGACCAATCACAGAGAACATTCACTCACTGCTGACCGTGCATTCAAACAGGGCTGCGTTTCCCAAAAGTATCATAAGAAAGCATTAAAGCTTTTGGGAATGGCAGCCCTGAACAATGCTTATCAGAGGACAGAAAACAAAACATAAATGTTTGAGTTATTTCACAATCACGTGACAGCCCCATAAGCTTAACCTATGCCGTTTGAGCCGGAAAGAGAATTGATTAGTTCATCTCTCGAGTCTTCTGGTTTGAGTCATTCATTTATCACGTGACAGCCCCATAAGCTTAACCTATGCAGTCTGAGCCGGAAAGAGAATTGATTAGTTCATCTCTCGAGTCTTCTGGTTTGAGTCATTCATTCATCACGTGATAGACCCATAAGCTTAACCTATGCAGAGCCGGAAAGAGACTTAAAAACAATAACCAACTCTTTATAACCTGTTACAACATTCTGTGTTATGGAAAATAACCATCATGACATTCATAAACTGTAAGAAGTAAAATGCTACAATTTGAGACCAGAAACGCATCACGTAACTGTAAGAGTAAATAATAATTATACTACTACTACTACTACTAATAATAATAACTACGCACCCGTTTGTGACAAAAGAACGAATGATTCGAAAGACTCAAGAGATTAACTAATCAATTCTCTTTTCGGCTCAGACTGCATTGGATAAGTTTATGGGGCTGTCACGTGATGATCAAACGACTCAAACCCGAAAACTTGAGAGAGATTAACTAATTAATTCTCTTTTCGGCTCAGACGGCATTGGTTAAGTTTATGGGGCTGTCACTGAAGACCCAGGTAAACAATGAATTAATCTTTTCTGTTTCAAATAGCATTATAGTTTTGTATTGTTTGTAGTAGGGCTGCACGATATATCGAAATATCGCAAGGGCGTGCGATATCCGAATCATTTTAATAATAGGCTACTTAAATCAAAACGTTGCAAAAGGTCAAAGTTTTAGTTCGAGGCATATAGCAGAGAATTGCGTTAAGAAGAGTTACGTGCAATAAGTTGCAGAAAACAAATCTTTGCCGTCTCGTCTTGCTGTCTGACTCACACCTGAACGCCGCCCAAAAGCCGCATCTCGCGCAGAGTCTCTTCAGTAAGTATCGACATATCGATACTGACGCGAGTATCGAAAGTATCGATACTCAAACAAAAAATATCGATACTAAGGTGCATTTTATTTACCAGTGGTTTTATTTATTTAACAAAAATAATAATAATATTAATGCGTACAATATGCATTGAATTTGACGAATAACCTTTGTTAGCGAGTAATTGTGTAGGATAGAACTATTTTCCTGCTCATCTGAACACACGCAAATGTTGCAAGACCAATCACAGAGAACATTCACTCACTGCTGACCGTGCATTCAAACAGGGCTGCGTTTCCCAAAAGTATCATAAGAAAGCATTAAAGCTTTTGGGAATGGCAGCCCTGAACAATGCTTATCAGAGGACAGAAAACAAAACATAAATGTTTGAGTTATTTCACAATAAACAAATTGAAATTGTAGCCTACATAGTTTGTGCAATTACAATTATTTAAATTGAACGTTGAAAGATAATATTGATCATGTAAAGATTGCATTTTATGCATGCAACAGCCATTCACTGGCAGTCCCT